TGCTGCAGCGTGTTGCACTACGACTAAGGCTGGCGGCTCGGTTTAGCAGCAGCAGCAGCAGCAGCAGCAGCAGCAGCAGCAGCAGCAAAAGACTCGTTGAGTTTGAAAAGCTTGAGAAGCGGAAAGCGAAGTTGAACGGCATTGTTTTTTTATTTTTTTTGCTGCAGCGGCGAACTTAGTGGATTTGGGGAATAAAAAAGAAATAAATGCGAACTAAAGTGGAATTAAATCGCCAATTACTGCAGAGTCGACACCGGAGTTGGAATTGTTTCGGAAGGTTGTGCAGAATGTTTGACGCTTTCCTTGGCCTGCCGGAGTGTACGTACAGCTGAGGCCCAGTGCTCCAGCTGGCCCAGCACCTCTTCCCACTGCGCGCGCCCGAACTCGCGCTGAATTGCAGTTCTGCGCCCGCAAAGCAGTTCAAAAACTCCCAAATTCCAAATCAAAACACTTTATTTCTTATTTTCCGAAGTTTCCGCAAAAAAACCGAAAAAACGACAAAAAACGACAAAAATCCGATGCCGCACGCCACAGAAACCGGAATTCAACATGCGCAAACTCACACCAAGACGCCATCAGCCGCAACAGATGCGCAAGAGTTTTAAAATATGCAAATTAATTTCAAAAGATGCAAGTTAATTTCAACTTTAAAAGTTAAAATTAATTTCAAGAGAGGCAAATTAATTTCAACTTTGGAAGATTAAAATTAATTTCAAAAGATGCAAATCTGAAAATTAAAATGAATTTCAAAAGATGGAAATTGATTTCAAAAAATTGGAAACAGAATTTCAAAAGATGCAAATGAAGAGCAGTTTCAAAACGCGCGTGCAACTTCCGAACCACCAAAGAAAAGAGCTTTTTCTGGCATTTTGAGTTCCATTTAAACAAACAAATATGAATAAATATAATCAAGTAGAAATAATGCATTAAATTAAACACTAAAGAGGCACTTTCGCGTAAAAAAGAGCAAAACAGCAATTCAACTTCTCCAAAAACCCTCAAAGACCACTTGAAGAAGCCCTTCAACGCCCACTTAAAAGCCCTCGAAACCCACCCATTCCAAACCCTTTCCAAACCCCAAACCCTCCCAAACCCTCCCAAACCCTCCCAACCCCCCCAAACCCTCCCCCAACCCCCCCAAACCCTCCCAACCCCCGCAAACCCCCAAACCCTCCCAACCCCCCCGCAAAACCCCTCGTTGAAACCCGCGTCAACGCCTCCTCCAAACCCCCCACAAACCCCCGCAAACCCCCACAAACC